CACAACTCTAGGGACCTAGTTTCTGAGTCAAAGCTTGGAAACAGTTGAGATCCCCACCCCATAACCATACATAAAATTGCTGGGCATAAAAAATCTAATATAGCTATGCTACAAGGATTGGCCTTGGGGTCTGGCATATTCCCTTGATCTCATTTGGAGAATAGTTTGCCATGATTGCTTAGGTATCCAGGTGAGCGATACAGGCCCTCTGTGCCTCTTGTTTTTACAATATCAAATTGCTACCTTCCTGCCAACTTTTTGGTAGATTTTGTTTAGAGATTATAGAAAATAATCGATTTAATCAGGGATGAATTAAAAGCTGCATTTTATACGAAAAGACATTGTTTTAATGACTGTATAGACTTGTTAATGTAGATGTTATTCTTAGAGAAGAAACAAATTATGTATCGTATGTTTTTTAAATGACAGCTGTGCGTTACGGTCGTGTACCAAAACGTTCCAAAAGCCAAGACGATCAATGTGTGACCTCCACAGACCAGAACCTTGATCAGGCAGACTTGGAAAACAAACAGCTTGCCATCTACGACATCATTCTCAGTGTTTCCCAGGCCCATCATGCTAACTGTACTGTGACAGAGGACAAGGTCAAACATATACAGAAGAAACAGTCCACTCTGGTAATTAATTATACAGTACACATGTCAAGGTCATATGCTGATGAAGGGGTCAAGTGGTGGTAGTGCCTGTCACTATATAGTACTTGGGTCAAGGTCATATCTATACTGATGTAAGGGTCAAGAAGAGGTCATTAAACAGCACTGAGGTCATGGTCATTTATGCAAATTGAGGGGTAAATTCATGATAGCTATACATTTAAGGGTCAAGTTTATCAGAAATTAACTGTTAAAAAATTGTACAGGCTCAATGTCATGTGTGTTCTTATATTTAAGTAGTTGTCAAGAGCTGATGACAATACAGTTCTAGATTAAAGGTCACATGTAAAAGTAGGAGTAAGGTGTATTAAGGTGTCCTAGTGGTAGGATGCCGGGCTCGTGACCGAAGGTCCAGTCTACTAAGCTGTAAATGAGTATGTGGTTGGGCAGTGCTAGAATTGTTGAATGCTAGCTGTTAGCGCCGAAATGGCAGCTCCGGCTGTATGCTTCCCAGGGGGTTGAGAAAGATATTGGCTGGTTGCAAAGGCCCTATAACCACGGATAATAATTTGTGAACCGCTTGGGGACGACCTACGAACTAGGTTGTAATAAAGCGGTATATAAGAACCTCAAATTATTATTATTATTATTATTATTATTTTCTATACGGGACAGATGCAAGATAATAAGCAAGTAAAACAATAAAGAACATGAAGCACAGGATACATGGTTTTCTCTGAATTACATACAGTATTTGGCCAAGATAATGGGTCATGTTAAAAACGTGTTTCCCGTGACACTCCTCAACACTATCAGAGTTCTGTTAGACAGTGTTAATCAAATAATTCTGTGCCACGCATTAACATGATCAAGGCAATTAAACCAGTACACATGCTATTTATAGAGGACTTCCAACAAGTTCCTATTACATGTAAATTTTATGAGACAAAAACTAAAATAGGAAGTAGATTTGGAACGAGCTAGATTGCTGTTTTTTTCATATGATCGATGATAAAATTACACATTTTATCACAAAATTAAGCTAAAATAATCGGTATTATTGTAATTTGTGACATCACACAATCTTGATAATGTTTCAAGAGGATAAGTGTTCTTACTGTGAGAGAAAACAATGCATCATTCCAGTCCAATCAAATACACTGATAAAAGTATGAGGCAATATATATATATTACAGCGATAAATCTACACACGAGTCCCGAGTCCTACACTCATAGAATTATGATGGGACTCGCAGAGTTTCTTGAAATACTTAAATTTAACATTGTGGGACCCATTGATTTTAGCAATACAGTTGAAAAGGACCTGTGAAAATGAATTGTAGAAAATTTAACATAGTGGGACCCATTGCTTTTAGCAATACAGTTGAAAAGGACCTGTGAAAATAAATTGTAGATTGATCTCAGATATTATATGACTTGTCGTGTTGTAGATGCAGCAGATAACGATACCCACCACCCCGGTCCAGTTTACAGACGAAGAGTTGGAGACCCAGAAACTGTCCATGTGGCTATGCCTCGCATCTCTTATCACGCCTACCATAAACAGTGTGGTGGAGTTTGGCAAGCGTATACCAGGTACTAAGGGAGTGTTGGATCGCCAACTATTTGTTACACTGGAAATAATTAACATAGTAATGGTCTCTTCTATGAAGGACTGTTTACAAAGTTTTGTTTAGTAAAGATTGATCAGCTGGACATCCAGCTGATTTCGGATAAAATCTCCCAGTCCTTGACGCTTTTTTCTGGTAAAGAAAATGTTGGCTAACAAGTTAGCATCACTGGATTATCTCTTTACCTCATTGATGATTCTTTGTGATATAATAAGGTGGGCGCCATATCACAAGTTTGTTATCCATCCATATATGGTTCAGATCAGGTCATAAACTGTGATATATGGCCCTATGCCCTATATATATATAGGGGAAACTCATTAATTTGGCTTCTGATATTCATGGGGAAAAGGCTTTCTGGAATCTTTTATTCAGGATCTTTATCTTCTGTGGCTATTCCTATTTCAGCTTCATTTTTATACGCCCGTCAAATTTGACGGTAGTATTATGGTATGGGGTTGTCTGTCCGATGTAAACTTTTGTTTGCCCGGCAATTTCTTACATTTTTTCGACCAATCTCTTTGAAACTTGGTATACATCATAATCATGATATGAAGTTGTGTCTCCCATAAAAGAATTTCAATTCGACAATTTTTCCAAAAGTTATTGCCATTTGTTTATTTCGGTATTTGATTTTTGTCCGGCAATCTCCTCCTACATTTTTCAACGGATCTCTTTAAAACTTGGTATTCATTATAATCATGATATGAAGTTGTGTCTCCTTTATATAACACTATATGACATTCGACGGGCGTATATTGTTCCACCCCGCGGTACTCTTGTTGTACATTCTTTAAGTACTCCTAATGCTGCAAATGTTTTCTGGAATTCAGGAAGTTTACAGATTAACAAAGTACAAAATGACAGTGCCAAAAATACCAGTAATACAATTCTATACACTGAGAATCTTTTCACCCTTTTGTCCCAGAACAAGATACGCAGTCAGTGTTTCTCTTGCTCAGGTTTATAGCCAAATACAGGCTGTTTCCCCTTGCTAAGACGTGCCTTTTCTTCCCAAAAAGACCAAAGATTGAAGAATGTACTCCCAATTTCAAATAAAATAATGCTTTATTTTTTTAATATATTTTTTTCCAATTAATGAAGGAACAAGCTGTTGTAAAATTTAGGTTAAATAAACCACTGGCAGTAGATTTAGCACTGGGTGAAACAGAGATACAGAAAGTCAATTGTAATTGCTAGAGTTTTGTGTTGGAGTAAACAGTTGTACCTACTCCTTTTGTAGGGTTTTCTGACCTTTCTCAAGACGACCAGCTCATCCTTATCAAGGGCAGCTTCTTTGAGGTCTGGCTCACCAGAATGTCACGCATGTTCAACAAACATGACGGTATTCTCACCTTCGACGAGGGCAACATGATACAGCGAGAAGAACTGTCTGTGGTCTTTTCAGTAAGTTTTACTTTTAAATACATGACTGTTGTTGGCTGTTCTCATACAAGTTCTCTACTTCAGCATATACATACTCATGTAATGAAGTATTTTGTCACCTTTAATCCATGGTTACATGAAATGTGAACAATTTTCAATATTCTTCATAATATTGTCCACTGTACAAAAATATTTTTGTAATGTTCAATATTCAGTCCATTGTCGCAATTTAATCAAGCTTTTGTTGGCATTACTTTCTGTATATGTAGATTTAGTCAATTTTCGTGAAATAAGGAATTTTAAAGAATAAATTTAATGTGCGTATGTTGCAAAGATTTTATTTTCTCTGTTTAAATGTCTGGTAATTTTTTGCATTAAGTAGAGATCCTAAATAGCAAACACAATCTTACCACCAAACTAGTGGATGAACCTTGGAAAAGACTTTAAATACAACCAAAATATGTTTAGGGGGCACGGTAGTCTAGTGGTAGGACGCTGGGCTCGTGACCAAAGGGTCGCAGGTTCGAGTCATGGCACGGCTCTGTGTTGTATCTTTGAGCAAGATACTTTACTCCGCTTGTTCCAGTCTACTCAGCTGTAAATGAGTACGTGGTTGGGCAGTGCTAGAATTGTAGAATGCTAGCTGTGAGTGCCGAAATGGCAGCACCGGCTGTATGCTCCCCAGGAAGTTGAGAAAGATATTGGCTGGTTGCAAAGGCCCAATAACCACAGATAATAATTTGTGAATCGCTTTGAGACGACCTTCGAACTAGGTTGTAATAAAGCGATATATAAGAACCTTGAATTATTAATAATTATTATTTAGATTGTCACCATTTGCATTCATATTGAAGATCTGCTTGCCAACGATGTCTCTCTTTATGTTAATGTAGATATGTCACAAAGTCCTGATTGATAAAGTTAATGTTTAAAATTCCCATGCCTAAATGAATTTATTATTCAGATTGTTCAGGGCTCTCCCATTTAAAACTATACCTGACCACAGGACTCCAGAATAGATCATTTTTATGCATCGTTGGGTTTTCCTGTCTATTACATATATATGTGTAAATTATTATTTAAATCTACAGAATATCTACAACAAATGTGTGTGCTGTTTATTAATGTTCTTACTTCATCGTCCCACATAAAAGTTTTAAATGACTGATTTTTTCCTGAAATTACAGCCGGAGTTTGTGTCGTGTATGTTTGACCTGGCTATCAGCTTCAACCAGCTCAACCTTAACGACACAGAGATTGGTCTGTTTGCTGCAATAGTGTTGGCAACTCCAGGTAAATTGTATGCTGACAGACAGTGTTAAATATTCTTATTTCAAAACTTCTTTTAGTTGATATTTCAAGTCTGTATTATTTCTAGCTGACTGGGACTAATAGAAATAGAGCTAGTTTTGTCCTCTCTTCCAGTAAACAACTAGTATGGCTAGTTGTTCACTAGATGGAAAGCTAGTAGATTATTAAAGGAGGAGGAGTTGGTTTCTGAAGTTCTACTTGTCCCAAATTTACCATAGTTATATTTAATACCTTCACCAAAGAATGAATTATACATAGTTTTTATGTATCACTGGTTGTTTAAAAGTGATGTATCATGTGCTTTTATAGATAAATTAAGGAATCAGATGAACACTGAAACAAAAGTATAAACTGAAAGAAGGAGAGCAACTGATCATAGTTTCTTTTTTCTGTTTGACTGAAAGAACATTTAGCTTTGTACAAGACGTAATTCTTTCCTAGCTGTATATATTTGCAGGCTTTAACCTAAATAAAACCATTTTTGTAAGTCTTATTCTATATTTGAATACAGCAACATTATTAGCCTGTATTTATGTATGTTATAATTGTAAAAAATAGTTTGTGATTCTAGCAACTTTGATTTCTAATCCATGTTCCACTTCACATTAATATTTATTTGAAATTCAGATCGCAGAGGTCTAAGTGATATGAAGTCTGTTGAAAAAATCCAGGACAAGCTGATAGAGGCCCTAAAACTACAAATCTGTCGGAACCATTCAACAGAAGATAACTTGTTTGGGAACACCATTGTGAAGCTTCCCCAGCTACGATCCTTAGGGAGTCAGCACAATGATATAATTCAATGGTACCGTGCCCAGTGGCAAAGAATCAGGTTACCTCCCTTGTTCTCAGAAATTTATGACATACCAAAACATGCGGATGATTCTTGATTATGGTTCTGTCCTAAGCTGATTCGATACAGTTTATCCTATATTGGGATCCTTTGGACAGTTTTAAGATGAACAACACAATATGGGATCTCTCCATGGAGAAAGACTATTTCCTAACTTTGAGGTGTATGTGCTATTACCGAATTGGAACTGTTATAGAAGATTGGGTTGGGTATTTGTCATTTTGAAAATTGGAATCATCAATGGAACCCCCAGAAGTTTGTTTAATGTTACACTGAAATGGCAATATATCTAGTACATATTTAGCTAGTATGTTTTTACCTGACTGGTGGACGCTGATCAGAGGTTTTCACTGAAAAGTTCATAATCTACCTCACTTGTATTTACCGATTAAAATAGTTTTCTCTTCCTGTCACTTTTTGGCAAAATCTACCAAAGAAGTCGCTCACTAGGGCCTAGTGAGTAATTCACATCAGTATAGTGCACTTTTACATTTAGCCCATTTGACCGTTGGCAGCTCATCAAATCTGGTTTTACAGTCTGACCAGGTATAAATCCCAGTGAATGCATGGGTGCCTTTTTCATTTAATTTCAACATTATGTTATGAAAAATGTTTGGTTCCTAGTTGTTACCAAATAACCTTAGTTGTTGTGAAGATTTTAAATCATTAACAAATAAGTTCACATTTGTTTCTTGCAATAATTTATGTTCAAAATTAACAAGACATTTGTCATCTGGTGGTTTTTTTAGTTAATTTCATTCATAATCTAAAGCATCCTGAAAGTGAAAGGATATGACCAGTCCTGATGGTTTTGACAAAGAAGGCCGTTCCACAATGCCAAATGCAGAATGAGAAATGCAAACCTGTCAAATGCCAAATGCTTAATTCCAATTGCACACAATGCCAATTGCCAAGCATGGGCTGTTTCATGAAAAAACTGAAAAGTGTCTCTACTAGCCCCATTTTCCTTTTCCTTTAAAAAATGAGGATTTCAGCTTTTGCATTCAGCATAGCACATTGGGTATTTGATGATTTGCATTTGGCATTGAAATCCAATTTTAAAGGAAGGAAAGAATGGGGCTAGCTAGTTGAGCAACTTTTTAATTATCTTCTCATAAAATGACTTATAAAAATTGATTTGTTGCTTTCTACTTAATATATATATATAAATGTATCTCTCTTGGCCATTGGAAATATGTGATTGAATTCAACCTTTTAATTAGGCATAAGAATTTCTCTCTACACATTTTGCAATTGGCATTAAGCATTTTGCCTTTGACAATAAGCATTTCACATTATGCATCGCGCATTGCATACTGGCCTTCTGTACATATTTGATAAAAAACAACACCAGTCTCGGCTACAGTGTAGTTTCGTAGGTAACGTGTCAGCCAGGTCAATGGATCTAGGGTAACCTTTGTCCAGTCAATGTGGAAGTCCCATACGGTTCTAACAGCTGTCATACTATGCACATCAGTACACTTGTCATATTATGTGTCTTGACCCTTTTACCACTTAAGACCATATTGGACTTGCCCAGATCAATGCATGGTAGAGTTTATTAAAGTTACATAGGGGTGAAAGGGTTAAACAAAAGTGGAAACCAGAATCCATGTAAACACAGGACTCCTGCTGATACAGTGTACCTGTCATTTTACTGATGTTTGTTCATCATCAGATTTTTTTAAAAGTTCATTACTTACTGTATGACATATCTTATCTTCAAAAAATCTATAACACCGATCAAAATGTTGTAAATCTTGAATTTTGTTTCGTGACGATGAGATTAAAAAGATTCAGATGTGGAGATATGTTAAGGTCTCTGTAATGTTAAAAACATTCAATACTGCACAAGGATCGATGTGGTGTGGTCGAGTGTCAATCATTGATTTGTTTAAACCTATGATTTTTTTTATGAGAAGAAACTTTAGGTATAGCATAAATCAAAGTAGCTGGTTTTCCTAGCATAGATTAGATGTATGTATTACGCTAGCAGAAGTCCTGGAACCCCCCTTTACACATTTTGATATATGCAAACAAGTGTTGTGGTCAGTTGTCACATTTTACTTCATTAACAACTCAGGTCTAACTAAGGATTTGTCTCCGGTCACATAAAGCATTTGGTAGAAATTGCTTGTTATAAGGTCAGCAAAACTGGTCAGTTTTAGAATTGATACGCTCAGGTGAAATTTTGCATTAATTAGTTGCAACCTCTGATCAGCTTCCACAGTGATTCAGCATTGTTGATATTTCCATATCAGTACAAATCATTGCATATACGTGTGTGTAGCTAGACTCCATGAGTTAATAGTTTTCGATGTAAGAATATTGTTGTATATATACTGGTTGTATAACAAACCAAGAAAATGATATAGCGCTTATTTTTTTAACTGCTAGAAACTTTTTAAGTAATCAAGTTGAATCAACATTAAGTGTTTTCATACTATTGTTTGTTTTCCATTATTATCATGATTGTTGTTTTTAAAACTGTTTTGTTTTCAATTGCTATTGGATGAAAATGATCCGATCCAGTGTATGTAAATATTGCTCTCAAGTGCAATCATGTTTTACCTGGAGGTCGCTTAAAATTATCTTTACTACAATTACCCAGTGTTTTTGTTGATGTTTTTTACTTGTTTACATATTGTTTATATTTTGTTGTATATTTTCAGCTGTGTTAGGAACATAACAAAGAGAGGAATTACATTTTTTGTCAGAATCTGAATATTATAAAGGAATTGGATGTTAACTTACCTCAAGTATTTACGATGAGTTTCATACATTGTGTGAGATACTGCAACCGTTTGGCCAGTAAGATTTAGGCATTATTAAGGGGTTTGGCAATATTTTCGAGAAATATAAAGGAAGATTTGAAGAAAATAAAAAAAAGTCTTAAAATATATTCAACTCGGCAGTAATTAAGCTTGGTGGCAATTAAAGGGAGGGGCAGTATATCAAGGTCTTACTTTATAACACAAATATCAAGCTTATTTAAATGAGATGAAAAAAAGAAATCGTGATTCATTTTGAGAATTAAAATCCTCTAAAATAAGACTTTTTTTTTAAACCTTCAATTATGAAAGTATATATAAATTTATATAATCTAAATTTGTGAAATTAAGATATTGAAATGCTAAAATAATTGTTTATTGTATTAAAGTGTAGCATATATAACGATATAGAGACATGTCGTCTCGGCTGTATGTTTCTCCGTAAATGTCAAACATTTGAAGACTTGTTCTCATGAACAGCTAGCTGTACAGGCTTATCTAGTCATAACAGTACACATTGTGACATCAATGTAATAAGTATTTTTTTTCAACTTTTGCTATAACTAGCTGATTTAGAACCTAATCAGACAGAGTGAGTACTTAGAATGGCCTGCTCAGAACTTGTTTATGCATTAACTAGTCTAGAAAGCAAAAATGGTTGCAATGAAGATCTTGTTCCATAATTGTTTGTATTAAATCAACATTCTTTTTTTTTGAAACAGTACACTTACAATGACAAAACAGGTTTAGTTCTAAAACAGATCAGTGCTACTAGTGATAACATGCTTGTTTGTTTAAGAAAAAAGACAAAAGTCTTCAGAGGAAAATAGGGCAGAGTTATGCTTAGTGTAGATAGAATATGAAGGCTTTGCTGTGATGGTCAGCTATACTTAGAACCTGGTCAGTGGGCTCTCCGGTATGTAGGATATAAAAGGCCAGTGACTTGCAATTTACTTGGGATGAAAATAATGTTCATTATCATTCATTATTGAATATGATCTTGCTTTTGCTCTTTTGATGATAACTTAATATTAACATGAAAGTCCAGGTGAAATATTACTTTTTTTTTGTAATAAACATGTAAAGTAACTATAAAAAGTTTCTTAACAATGATCATCGGGCCTAATTTCTGATTACACTACTGTGAACATAGGGTCAATTATGAATGTATTGTTTCTCTTGGTAAACATACATGGATATTTGTAATTGTGACTTATTCACTTTGTTCAGGATAAGAAGAAAATCATGAATCACTACACTGTTTAGTGATTTACATAAAACAAGGGATATTATCCAAACCAAAGTGATGGTGGCATGGGTAAAGACTGGTTTCCTTTTCTTTGATCAATCATTTAGTTTTTGTCTCCAACTTTATTTTCTGTTTATACTGAATTGAATTTTATTATTTTCAGTCATTATATGATAATGAATGCTAGCATTTCTCAGGACACTATATTTCACCCCAAACTTACACGTTTGTTCTGTACATACGAATATTTAGAGAAACCAGGCACTGGTGCATGTGTGTAGTCCTCTACCTGAACTTTTCTGTTTATACTGAATTGAATTTGATTATTTTCAGTCATTATATGATAATGAATGCTAGCATTTCTCAGGACACTATATTTCACCCCAAACTTACACGTTTGTTCTGTACATACAAATATTTAGAGAAACCAGGCACTGGTGCATGTGTGTAGTCCTCTACCTGAACTTACTGACATGGCTTGTGTATCGCTTGATATCTATTTTCTGTAAGACTATAAAGAAAACCAAGCTGGATTGTCTTGTTACATGATATATATGTTTTTGGAGTTAATTGATGAACTCTACACTTTTTTGTTGAGCCGGTGAAGTTGCATATCTCCTGCTTTTGGGGATTTACTTGTTTTTAGAAAGGAGAGATTTACATAAATGTATATTAAAATCTCTTAGCGATCTGAATTTCACATTGTATAGTATAATTGTTTTAACATTTCATGGCACATCACAGTTATTTACCATGATTAGAACTAGATTTAGATTGACAAATATTTACTAGATATAAATTTTTACCTCTATTTGAGAATGAAATTTTAAAATGACAATATTTTTTTATAATCCAATGAATACCGGTTACTTACAACTACTATACCACAAATTACATATGCTTACATACATTCTGCATGAATGCTTTTTAACAATATAATCCATCTTCATATTTTGTGAATTTGTAAAATCATCATAACTAGTGAATTCTGAGTTTCCCACTGCCAAATGCTATCCTATATATGTACATGACGTATGACATCAACATTGTTGGCTGATGACAGAGAGCTGGGTTTAATTGTATAGGATTAATCGTAGCATCAACAATACCCGGTAAAATTGAAAGTAAAGGTTGTAAAAACCATTCAGTTTGTATACTCATGGTCAAAATTATTTCTGTTAGGTTTTTGCAAGCTGTTGACCCTTATCCAAGATTTTGAGAAGTCTGTCACCAATTTTATTTTAATCTAACTTACTATTAATTGATTTTTTTATTATTATTATTACTATTACTATTAATAAACTTTATATCTGTCCAATAAAGCCGCACTAAAATAAATTTTTGATATATATGTTAATTGGCGTTTTGGTAAATAATTATTTTTTTCCTTAATCTGTAAGTTTCTATTTTTTTTGTTTGGGTTGTCAGAATGCATATCAATGCACAAGTATGACATTTGAATAAAAGTAAATAGTAAATCAAGACTGCATGTATTTTGGACTGCTTTGCATATGAATTTGAAAAAAAAAATGCCATGAAGAAGAATAGAATTACTGGTAGTATGTTTCAGTGTAGATGATTTTTCAACCTCGTCACCTATGGTAGCAGTGATGACTGACTGGTCTGAGCTGGCTTCAAAGTTTCATGTAACCTGTACTTGTAAAGTCTGTAATATTGTTTAATACAAAATGTTTTTACTAACAGGTTTATGTAGTACAAAAACGAAAATTGACACACATTTTTTTGGGAGATGGAGACAAAATTAGGGAGGGGGCTTAATTGCAGGTACCCACCCTGTTCCCACGACATTTGCGAAAAGGGTCTTATTTGCGGTAAAATACGGTAAACCAACATTTTCATAACAAAATTCGTGAATATCGTCTGTTGTGCGCAATTTGGATAAAATCCACCATTTTGAAGGAAATAAGCTAAACCCTCTTCAATTTTTGAAAGCCTCCGCATGCAACAAACAAAATAAATAATTCACATGCTTAAACATTGTCCTACCAGTGTTCATTCGTAGAAAAGTTTTTTTGTTTGTCACATGCAGAGGCTTTCATTTCTGCATGCTTACTGTCCAAAAACACCATATTTTGGCTATTGCTGCATAGCAATGCAATACTGTTGCTATCGTAGGGCATCTACGCATGCACATTGGGAAATATATTCCCCAACAAAGGTAGCCCTAATTAACCAGTATGATGTTTATAACAGAAATTGGTCAGTAAATTCAAATTGAAATTTTTACTTTTTAAGAGACCAAAAATGACCCATAACGCTCCAAATTCTTTATTTTCTGGTAGAAAAAATCATTATTTCAAGAACATTTGTTAGGTCTTGTTGAATGTCCTACCTGTGAGAGAATGTTGTTGGAATGCTTTAACTGTGAGATTTTGGTCGCTGTTAGGGCTCCTTCCTCTGTGAGGTTCGTTTCTGTTTAATACTTCTAGTGAGAAGAGAATGGTTGTCGTCAGAATACTTTCAGCTGCAAAATTTTGATTGCTGTGAGGCATTCTTCGGTGAAATTTTGTTCCTTTCTCTGAGAGTTTGGTCACCATTAAAAACGTTTCCTGTGAGACTTTGGTCATTTTTGGGGGCTTTTGACTCTATATTTTGGTCTGGTCCCTGTTACACACCCTTCCTGTGAGACTTTGGTCATTGTTGAAGGTCTTGTGTTGAGAGTTTAATAAATATCTGTTTTTCATTTATATGTTGGGTAAAAACGCTGTGTGTTACAGTTATGAAAATAATGAATGAAATTGTTTCTGACTGAAATAACGGGTAATTGGTATTTTTTTCCTTTTTATTGTTTAAAATTGTTGCTAGGTAATTGAAACTTCTAAAAATATATTGTTGCCTTTCAGGACTCATTGGTGCTGGAAGATGTATATTAAAGCTGGGGATTGTCTGGGATAGTGGTCCATTACTCGACCATAGTCTATGATACTTGAACTATGGTATTTTATCAGGTCTAACAGTATATTAATACATCTTGTATCAAAGAAATGAATTCTTATTAATCAGGGCCATTTTTGTTTATCCCGTTCCAACTTGTTGGACCGGTTGGGTTGTAGTTGAACCTTTATGAAATGGGGACGGACCTAGGCCTAGTGATTTTTGATGATGATTTCTGGCAAGCCTTGGAAAAAACTTTCAAGGCCTGTAATAGCACTTGCTGGTCTGGTCCATCACAATTTACCCCTGAAATGTTACATTTAAAAAAAAATAAACAAACTGGTATTCAAATCTAACAGTAAGATATGCAGTAAATATTCACTTAAAATTGCATTTATTTTCAATCATCATTCTTAGACATCTAGATAGTTTGAATTTTAGCAGAACCATGTTTTAGAGATCAAAAGTTCAATATAATCCCAATGATATACCCCAGCTTTATTTGAATACCTCTTTTCATTTACCTTAATGAAAAAAGATTGAATTTCAAGTCACAAGCCAGATGTTACCTCACTTAATAAAATCAATATTTCTGATCGCTGTTGAAATTTCTCGTGTTTTTCTCTCTGCAGTTCATCAAATGGTCTGCATATTTGTTATCACATATTTTAAAACTAAAAGAATGTCTACATTATCTTAGAGTGTATTAGAGACTTTTAGTATGGTATAATACAGGTATGTTTAGGTGATTACAGGTATGGGTAGTGTTATATGTTTGATAAATAGGTTTGATATGGGTACTGTTCAGTATACTTTTACCTCATCTGTTCAGAAACTTAATGCCAAAACTGCAAAGAATTGTCACTGTTTCTGAAAAAATCAAAATCTGTAGCAGTGCTCCAATGATGTTTTAGACACCAGGATCTGAAGCCATTGTATGCACGCTTTGTTCACATCCTCGCCCATCAGTTTTTGTTGGCAAGGACATTAATTCATATCACACTTGAGGTTATAAGTTTTACATTTTGTATAAACTGTTGTTCACATGATGTTTGAGTTTGACATTGATGCTGATCACATATGAAGCATTTATTTACTAAAGGTGAAATAACTAATTAATTGGGAATATCAATCAAATAGACATTACTACCATGT